TAAACTTTTCCTTGACCTTCCACAACAACGAACTAATACTATATTTGCCCTTCTGTGATTGACTTATTTCACTCAGCATAATGTCCTCCAAGTTCATCCATATTATGCAGTGTTTTGCAGACTCCACGTTATTCTTTAGTGCTGCATAGCATTCCATTATGTGTATGTACCACAGTTTGGTCATCCACTCTTCCGCTGATGGGCACGTAGGTTGGTTCCATCTTTTTGCTATTGTAAACAGTGCTGCAATGAACATGAGTGTGCATATATCTGTTCCTGTCCTGGCTCTCACCTCTCTAGGACATATACCTAGTAATGGATTGCTGGGCCAAGTGGTATCTCCAATTCCAGCTTTCTAAGGAATCACCATATTGCTTTCCACAGTGGTTGTGTCACTTCACAGTCCCACCGGCAGTGTATGAGCATCCCAATCTCTCCACATCCCCGCCAGCATTTGTTATTTTCTGTCTTGTTGAACCTTGCCATCAGTGCTGGGGTGAGACGGTATCTCATTGTTTTGATTTGCATCTGTCTGATGGCCAATGACTGTGAGCATCTCTTCATGTATTCACCAGCCACCTGAATATCCTTCTTGGTGAAGTGTCTATTCGTGTCTTCTACCCATTTTTCAATGGGATTGTTAATTACTTTGGTGTTGAGGCACTGGAGTTTTCTATAAATCTTAGAGACAAGTCCCTTGATAGATATGTAATTATTGCCAAATATGAATTTGTTGCTGTCATTTTTGTTATATGCTTTTTCGTGGTGTTGATTTCTTTGTTCCATATAATTTTCTATGCTGAGTTCGTTTTATGAATCGTGTTATCGCTTCCTTTGTTGCTATTGTTTAAGTATTTGCTAAATATTTGTGCTGATCCTCTTTTTTATTTTGATGTGAAGGTTTATGATTTTTCTTTTTTCCAAGTTTACAGCAGTCCGTTCTATCTTACAGTTGCCTTGACATCCCTTCCATCTAGAAGTTCTGTAACAACACAGTTTTTTCCCTCTTTTTGGTTTGTAGTTGTCCTCATTTGTCAACTGATGTCTCTGGTTCCCTGTTTACAGTCTTGTAGGCTTATTTACTTTGAATACGTCCATAGCTGGGTTGGTTCTGGGTTATATCATCATGTGTGTTAATGGTCAGTTGTTGTTGGCTGTTGTTCCTTCTCTGACCAAAGGGCTGGCTCCCTTTAGCATCTCTTGTAAAGTTGGTCTGTTTTTAACAAATGCCCTTAATTTCTGCTTGTCTGAAATGTCCTAATTTCAACATCATATTTGAGGGACAATTTTGCTAGACACGTAATTCTTGGTTGGAAATTTTTCTCTTTCAGTGTTTTATATATACCATCCCACTGTCTTCTCGCCTGCATGGTTTCTGTCGAGAAATCCGAGCTTAGCCTTACTGTTTGCCCCTTGTAGGTAAATTTTTGTTTTTCCCCGTGCTGCTTTTAGGATTCTTTCTTTATCTTTGGTTTTGGTGAGTTTGATGATGATATGTCTTGGTGATTTTCTTTTGGGGTCTATCCTGTTTGAGGTTTGTTGGACTTCCTGAATGGATATATTCTCATCTTTCATCATATCAGGGAAGTTCTCTCCCAACAAATCTTCGACAATTTTCTCAGTGGTTTTATTTTTCTCTTCTTGTTCTGGAATTCCAATGACACGTAGGTTATTCCTTTTGATGGTATCCCATGTGAACCTTAGGTTTTCTTCATTTTGTCTTGCTCTTTTTTCTGATTGATCCCTTTCCAAAGACGCATTCGGGTATTTGTCTTCAATCTCATTAATTCTTCCTTCCGTTGCGTCCATTCTACTCCTTTGCCCTTTCAACGTGTTATCTATTTCTGACAATTTAGTATTAATCTTCTGGTTTTCTATCTGTAGATTTAGAATCATTTCTAATTTTTCATTTATTTTGTCATCTTGTTCTTGTATTTTCTTCCAAAATTCTTCTAGGGTTTTGTCTGTGTTTTTCTTGATCTGTCTCTCAATCCTTTGAAGATACTAAATATAATTCTTTTGAATTCCTTATCAGGGAGTTCCAATGCTGCATCTTCCTCAGGGATGTGTTTTGGGTCCATATCCTGGTCCCTTGTTTCTCCTACTTTATCTTGCTTCTTTGTGTGGACTGTGACACTCCATTGTCTCTGAGGCACTGTGACATTTTTATGTTTATGTTAATTGGTGATTGTATGTTGGAGTGACTTGCCCATGATTTTCATTTTCTTTGTTTGTATGTTATTTACTCAAGCAGGGTACTGGGCTGTACTCCTCAGTACACTAGCTGACAGCACTTATACACATACCACCTGTCTCCTTTCCTGTTTTCAGCATCTTGTATGTCTCTGTCCACCTTGGCAAACAGAGCCTATTCTTAGGTCCCTGGAATCTGAATGAGCATGCTATCCCTTTAAAATACAAAATGGTTGTCATTTATAAAGATTCAAAATGGCTGCATCCTTGGCCACTTTAATATCCAAAATGGCCACCGCTTGTAAACATTCAAAATGGCTGCACTTCGGTCACTTTAACTATCCAAAATGGCTGCCGCATGTAAACAATCAAAATGGCTGCGCCCTCTGGACAGCAGAAAGTTAACAGCTCAGGTTGTCTCCCTCCTTGCTTTTTCCCTTCCTAGTCATAGGCCACCAGCACAGTTGTCTCTGCAGCCCTTGGTGACCAGGGCTGATCTTTAGGTCAATTCTCAGGTTCCGATACCACTTGGAAATATTCAGGCTGTTGGTCCTGTCAGAGTAGCTGACAGTCTGCAGCTCTGACCATCTCTGTACTCACTGTTTTCATTCAGGTTTTTCCACTAGTTGGTGCCTAATCCACTTCTGTATAGTTCCTTTCAAAGCTCAGGCTCCAGGATTATCTTCTGTATCTCTGTCAATTGGTTATTCTTTTCTTTGTGGAAGAGGGTCTGTGTCACTTGTGTGCCTATCCCTCCATCTTACTGGAAGTCTCTGAATTTCCCACAAATCTTAAATCTTGAAACAGAAGGTAGTATTACATGTGTAATGGTAGTAATGATGGTAATTAGTTATTTGGTCTGAATTAGTTATTAGGTAAAATTTGCAATTAAAGTGCTCTGTGGAAGACTAACAAGATTACTAAAGGTATGAATAATAATCTTTCTATTTCAAAAGGTGCCATTAAAAAAGACAGCTAAATCAACATGAAAAGCATAATCAATGTCATTGAATTGTACATATAGAAACTGCTGAATCAGCAAATGTTTTGGCGTGCATATTTTCACCTCATACATGCAACAGCAGGTGAAGAAATAACCAAAAAAACAAAAACAAACAAACAAAAACCCCAGCCTAATTAGGAAGCAGAATGCTGAGGCAAAGATGAGAGGGAAGATATACGTCTCAGAATTGGGGTGGTATTTTCCCTGGTGACAAAAATCAAGACTCCCCTGGCCTGGGATTATGCCTCTGAACTACAAAATCAAAAGCCAGGCTCCTAGGTTGGAAGTACCATGAATATTTGGTGGTGTGCTTATGTCCCTGCCCACTCTGGTCACGATTCTCCTTTCCCCAGGCTCCTAGGAAGAGTAGGAAAATGAGGAGGTGATAAAATGAAGCTACCTTCCCTTGGTGCCGATCTCTGAACTCTGATGAAGGATCATCCTGAGCATGTGCACCATATGCAACATCTTCATACACCTTTTATCACTACAGTCATTTCATCCTAAAAATGTCAACTCTGCACTGATCATTAGCGAAGAAAACTAAGTTATAGATCCCTTGAGTTTTAGAGTCCTTACAGTTTACTTAAGGAGCCCAGGTGGCACAGTGGTCAAGCACTGGGCTGCTAACCAAAAGGTTAGCATCTACTAGATGCTCTGTGGGAGAAAGATGTGGCAGTCTACTTCTGTAAAGATTTCAGCCTTGAAAACCCCATGGGGCAGTTCTACTCTGTCTTTTAGGGTTGCTGTAAGTAGGAATCAATTCGATGGCAGTGCATTATAGGTTGTTATGTGTTGTGTTGTTGTTGTTGTTATGTGCCATCAAGACGGACCTGACTCATAGCGACCCCTCCTTGGGTTTCCGAGGCAGTATCACTACAGAAGTAGGGTTTCCCCATCTTCCTTCCGAGGAGTGGCTGGTGGGTTTGAACCGCCAGCCTTCTGGTTAGCAGTCAAGTGGCTTAGGCAGTATGCTACCAGAGCATTATAGGTTACTTACTCAAAAGTTTGTCTAATGTAGAACTCTTAGATAATAGCAGAGAATCATTTGAAGATTGTCAATACTCCATAAAACATTTATTTTTAATTTCAGATCTACCTTAGAATTTGCCAAGAGAGTTAATAGGAAAAAACAAACAAACAAACAAACAAAAAACAGGTACTTATGCCTCTAAGTAAACTGCACTTCTTGGGCAAAGAATGCTTTTTCAAAAGGTGAGCAGAAATGAAGGATTATATCTAGATCATTTTCATTTATCTATCATATCCCATTTACCTTACCATGGCAATGGCTGTCAGTGGAATTTCTCAGCAAAGAATAAGGAAAAAGTACTATTCTTTCCTCACATTTTTATAAATAACATTAGAAGAAAACTGATAGCTGATGACAGCAAGAAAACAGATCAATCCTTTCATTAATTTTCCACAAAGTACTGCAATGCACGTCACCAAAACAGCAGAGATCTAGAGATCTAAAGATCTCCTCTGTGCATACTGCTCTTATAATTACAACACAATTCTCAACTCCAGTGGAAGGAAAGTCCAATAAGCCACATGGCTTGGAAAGGGCTCTTATTAATTTCTTACCTTCAAGAGGCTTGACAATTTGTAATTTTTCTGGCATAAAACCTCGAAGGCAACTGGCACTACTGAGGTCTGTTATCTCTGACTGGTCGGTGCAGAGAGTAGCAAGGCTTTCTGCTGGGGAGCCACAGCCACTAACACCTTGCTTCTGGTCAGCCAGAACCTGGATCTTCCGCTCCCATTCTTGAGCAAAGAACTGCTTCTCACTTAAATAGTTTTGTCGACGCAGACTAAGGCGATGCAGTGCTGTAGCCAAATCACTATCTCCGGAGGGTCCTGGCTGACTCATCTCCTGAGAGTTCCTACAGGGAAATCATATCATTGATTACATCTGCAAGGGTCATAAGCACAACCTGGATCTCTCCCTTCCACAATGACAAATGTTCAAGTGACTGATCCTAAGAATGCACTACAGGCAGGTCTCCAGTTACAAATAAGATGCAGTCCTAATTGTGTCTTTAAGTCGAATTTGTAGGTAAGTTGGAATGGTTGCATATGGTTCCTGTTTAGCTTTACATTAGTGCAAGAAAAAGCGTGAAGTCTTTTCAATGATTTAAAAGCTGAATGTACAGCAAGTAAAGGTGATTGTGATGAAAAATTAATTGCAAGTAGGGTTGGTTCAATCGTTTCAAAGTCAGGGCAAATTTACATAACATTAAAGGGCAAGTATGAGTTGTCCCTAAGTCGGATATTAGTAACCTGAGGACTTCCTGGGTTTTTCCTTACATATCTGGAATATAGAAATAGTACCAAAAAACCATCAACAGTGCTATGTATCCTTTTTGCAGGTCATTTCAAATTACTTCAGATAGGTAAAAATATACTTTATGTTTCTTTACTAACTTTTCTACTCCATCTAATTTATGAAACTATGGATATGGCCAACCATAAATTTAGTTCAGGTAGTCAAAAGAAGTAAATATTACCATATTTTATTGAATCTATAATACCACTGATTTCAAGAAGCACATTATTTTCATACTGCTAAGAAAGAAAAAATGTTACTCGTTAAATTACAACATGCCATTAACTACAAAAACATAACAATTTCAAAAATATTAAAATGTGAAAAATATTTGCTTTGGGCTACAGAATCCTCCATGAATACTATAAGACATTTAAAAGAAAACAGTAAGATTTGTATAATACTGAAGTTTCATAGTTTTGAGATGCACATTTTTCACTTTTCAACAGTTTTGAAATTGAGAGATAGTTCAACAATTGATATTAAAAAAAAGAGCAGCAAGCTAAGTTGTAGTTACTAAGTGTGAATTTGCATAGTTTGTTAGATCTTATCCTAAGCTAATTGTGTCATATGAGGCAGAAGTCACGTATAAAGCTACTATGAGTACAGAACACTGCCCATCACAGACAGGCAAAACAACGAAAAGCTTAGCGTGAGGGATTTCTGCATTAGGAAGGATTTTCCTCAGGTGCCAAGCACCTATCTTTCAAAAGCTTTCAGCTGACTATCCAATAAAGCTGTTAACTTTGTTTGTTGTTGTTGTTATGTGCCGTTGAGTGGGACCCGACTCATAGCGACCCCTCCTTGGGTTTCCGAAGCAGTATCACCACAGAAGTAGATTGCCTCATCTTCCTTCTGAGGAGTGGCTGGTGGGTTTGAACCTCCAGCCTTCTGGTTAGCAGTCAAGTGCCTTAGGCACTACGCTACCAGAGCTCCCTAACAACAACAACACAACATCCAATAAAGCTGTTAACTTTATGTTGTCATTATTAAGTGCCACTGAGTCAGTTCCAACTTATAATGACCCTAAGTACAACTGAATGAAATACTGCCTGGTCCCACAATATCCTCATAATTGCAGCTATGTTTGAACTCACTGTTGCAGTCAGTGTCAACCCATTTCATTGAAGGTCTTCCTCTTTTTTGCTAATCCTCTACCAAGTATGATGTCTTTCTCCAGCGAGTGGTCCCTCCTGATAATATGTGCAAAGCACGTGAGACAAAGTCTCACCATCACCCCTTTTGAGAAGCATCTGGCTGTCCTTCTTCTAAGACAGATGTGTTTGTTCTTCTGGCAATCCATGGTATGTTTGGTGTTCTTCACCAACACCATGATTCAAAGGCACTGACTCTTCTTCATCTTCCTTATTCATTGCCGGCTTTCACGTGCATATGAGGCAACTGAAAATACCACGGCTTGGGTCAGGAGCACCTTCATCCTCAAAGCGACATCTTTGCTTTTTAAACTTTAAAGAGGTCTTTTGCAGTAGATTTAGTCACTGCAATAAAACCAAAAACCAAACCCAGTGCCATCAAGTCAATTTCAACCCACAGCGACCCTATAGGACACAGTAGAACTGCCCCATAGAGCTTCCAAGTCTGCAAATCTCATGGAAGCAGATTCCCTCATTTTTCTCCCATGGAAGAGCTGGTGGGTTCAAACTACTGACCTTTTTGGTTAGCAGCCCAATGCTTTAACCACAGTGTCACAGAGCTTCTTGGCCAATGCAATATGTTATTTGATTTGTTGACTGCTGCTTCTGTAGGCATTAGATCAGTGGACGGATCCAAGTAAAATGAAATCCTTAACATATGAACATTTTCTCAGTTGATCATGTTACTCAGTTTACCGTGTTACTCACTGGTTCATTTATCATGATGTTACTTTACTAGATTCTTGTTTTCTTTGTTGTGGTGTAATCCATAGTGTATTCTTTAATCTTCATCAGTAAGTGCTTCAAGTCCTCACTTTCAGCAAGCAAGGTTGGGTTACCTAGATATTGCAGGTTGGTACTGAGTCTTCCCTCAATCCTGATGCCCCTTTTTCTTCATATAGTCCAGCTTCTCAGATTATTGCTCAGTATACAGATTGAATAAGTATGGTGAAAAGATACAACCCTAACCAACACCTTTCCTGATTCTAAACCATGCAGTATCCCCTTGTTCTGTGTGACCTATTAGCTCTTGGTCTATGCACAGGTTCCTCATGAGCACAATGGAATTCCCGTTCTTCACAATATTATCCATAGCTTATTATAATCTACACAGTCAAATGTCTTTGCATAGTCCATAAAGCAAAGGTAAACATCTTTCTGGTATTCTGCTTTCAGTCAAGATGCAGCAATATATCCTTTGCTCCATGTCCTCTTCTGAATCCAGCTTGAATTTCTGGAAGTTCCCTGTCAATGTACTGCTGCAACCATTTTTGAATTATCTTCAGTGAAATTTCACTTGCATGTGATATTAATGATATTATCCCATAATTTCTGCATTCTCTTGGATAACCTTTCTTTGGAATGGGTATAACAGAAATTTCTTCCAGTTGGTTGGTCAGATAGCTGTCTTCCAAAATTTTTGGCACAGAAAAATAAGCACTTCCAGTGTTGCATCTGTTGGTTGAAACATCTCAATGAGTATTCCATCAATTCCGGTAGCCTTGTTTTTTGCCAGTGCCTTCAGTGCAGCCTGGATTTATTGCTTCAATACCATCAGTTCTTGATCATATGCTATCTCCTGAAATGGCTGAACACTGACCAATTGTTTTTGGTACAGTGACTATATCTATTCATCTTCTTTTGATGCCTCCTGCATTGTTCAAATTTTGCCCATAGAATAATCCTTCAATATGGCAACTAGAGGCTTGAACTTTTTGTTAAGACTTTTCACCTTAAGCAATACCAAGTGTGTCCTTCCCTTTTGCACATTTCTTTTTAATACTTTACTTTGTCTTCTCAAGTCACCCTTTGAAATCATCTGTTCATCTCTAACTTTATCATTTCTTCTATTTACTTTAGCTACTCTATATTCAAGTTTCAGTCTTTTCTGACATCTACTTTGGACTTTTGTTTCTTTCCTATCTTTTTAACAACCTTTTGTTTTCTTCATGTATGATATCCTTTATGTCATCCCACAATTGATCTTTGGTCATTAGTGTTCAATGCATTGAATATATTCTTGAGATGGTCTGCAAATTCAGGTGGAATATGCTCAAGGCTGTACTTTGGCTCTTGTGGACTTGTTTTAATTTTCTTCAGTTTCAACTTGAACTTGCATTTAAGTAAATGATGGTCTGTTCTGCAGTCAGTCCCTGACCTTGTCCTAAATGATGATATTGAATTCCTCTACTGACTCTTCCCACAGATGCAGCCAATTTGATTCCCGTATATTCCATTTGGTGAAGCCACCCCTCGGAAGGGAGATTGGGCAATCTACTTCCATAGTGAAACTGCCTCGGAAACCCAAGGAGGGGTCACTATGAGTCACATCTGTCTCCACGGCAGTTTTTACGTGTATAGTCACTGTTTATATGTTGTTGAAAAAGATACTTGCAATGCGTAAGTGGTTGGCCTTGCAAATTCTATCATGTGATCTTCAGTGTTATTTCTATCATCAAGGTCTTATTTTCCAACTACTGATTCATCTTTGTTTCCATCTTTCCCATTCCAATCACTAGTAATTACCAGTGCATCGTGCTTGCATGTTTGATCCATTTCACACTGCAGAAGTTAGTGAAAATATTCAATTTGTTCATCTTTGGAATTAGTGGTTGGTGAGTAAATTTGAATAACAGTTATATTAACTGTTCTTCTTTATGTTGTTGTTGTTGTTATGTGCCGTCGAGTCGGACCCGTTCTTCCTTATAGGCATATGTATATCTTCCTATCACTCACAGCACTGTACTTCAGGATAGATCTTGAAATATTCTTTTTGACAATGAATGCAATGTCATTCTCAGCATAGTGGCTCATATAGTTGTCCAATTCAAAAGGACCAGTAGTAGTCCATTTCAGCTAACTAATGCCTAGGACATCAATCTTTATGTGTTCCACTTTATTTCTGACAACTTCCAATTTTCCTAGATTTATACTGTGTACATTCATATTACGATTATTAATGGATGTTTGCAGCTGTTTCTTCTCATTTTGAGTCATATCATGTCAGCAAATGAACTTCCTGAAAGCTTTACGCCACCCACACCATTAAGGCTGACTCCACTTTAAGGAGGCAGCTCTTCCCCAGTCATAATGTGAGTGCCATGTGAGTGCCTTCCAACCTGAGGGGCTCATCTACTGGCATTGTACGAGACAATGTTTAATTGCTAGTTCTATGTAATTCAATGAACTGAATTAAGGAAAAGAGAAAAAAGATCTTAAATTTAAACAAATAAGAGAATAAGAGAAACCCTCAACATATGTTCAAATTGTATTTGTTTATCCCAAAGGCAACACAAATGTTCAGACTGTAAGCATAAATTATGAAGAAGTATCACCTGATGCTAAGTATAACTGCCTATGACCAAACAGATTTAGACAGATTTACCTTTGAACATAAAGATGATTTAGACTCAGACTCTGCAATACTGAATAAGAAAGTGGTAAAGAACTGTATGGTTAAATGCAAACTCCATTTTCAATACATTTAATTAAATGTAGCCATTTCATTCCAAAAACTATTATGAAATGATCTACCTTACAAATGAGATAAGACATCATTACTGAAAGAAAACTGGCAGTTCAGAATATTCTCTTAGAATAGTGCAGATTAATACTGCAACTTGAATACATGAATCTGGTTATACCAACTCTAAAGAAACAGAGAATCATTGCCATGATCTATGTCTCTTACCTAGGAACCTCCTCTGAGATGCTGCCCTGGTTCAGAAGTGTTTTGACTTCTGTTAGCTGTAAACCTGACTCAAAAGGTTTGGCTGTCATGATGACGCTTGACCGGTTGGAGCCTGGGATGGATAGTAGAGCTGGGAACGCAAAAGAACGTCCTTGTGTGTCATTGGCAACCTTGACGGTATCAAATACCCGTTTCTGTTGGGCTCTGTCAAAAAGGAAGTGTTTTGTTACTACCATAACGCTTTAGAAAAGAGACATGTATGTGCAGTTTGTTAAAAATAAAGGCACCCTGAATAGCCTTTTAAGGTTTAATGCAGATTAGGAGAAATCATTAGAAGATAAACTTGAGGAAAAGAGAATCTTTCATAAATGCATTTTTTTCAGTATGAGGACAGAAATCTGAACAGTAAGTCATTTACTTATTCTCACTAATCCTTATCACTTTGGATTACAGCTTTTTATTTCCATTCCGTAATTAGTACTTACTTATGTTTAAAGAGACAAGACTCCTCATCCAAACTCAACTTCTTACGCATGGTCCCCTCAATCTCAGCTGCCAGAGATTCCTAAACAAAAAGAGTTTGAAATTGCTAAAGGGATTATGTAAGAATCTCCTTAAAGTAAAGGCATTACCCTTAAATAAATTAAGAGTATCGACAATACCAAACGTTTGGTGTTTTTAACAAAGGAAAACACAAGAAAACAGTCTCAGGGTTAATAATCCATATATTCTGGAACATTAATCTTCAAACAAGAACCAACTATCTTTTCATGACATATTTTTAATAGAAAATAGTGAAAAAACATTATGATAAACAGAAAATATTACATCTACACACACACACACACAAGGTCTGAAAGGCTTATAAACCAAAATGTTAGCAAGTAATTCTCAGGAGAATAGGATTTAGTGGTATTTAATTTCTTTTTGCTTCCTTGTAATTTCTAAATTTTCTATAATATACATGCACCACTTTTACTATATATATATATATATATATATACACACACACACACATATATATATATATATGTATATATATATGCAATCTTCCCCTTCCCCTGGGATGAGGATTCAACTAGAAGGGGTGGCATGCTCATAATTTTTAATAGATATAGATATATGAGTATAAATATGGATGGAAAGATATAGATGTGTACTATACGGGTGCATGTATAAACATTTCCTAGCTCTATCTGCTGAGACGATCTACCAGCAATGATATTTCAGTGGCAGTAGGCATAGTCAGCACCCCCATTTTTCCCCCCCCCTTTTTCTATTGTGCTTTGAGTGCAAATTTACAAAGCAAACTTCTTTTACATTCAGCAGGTCATGAACATCTGATTTTATGGCCCCAATTACCGTCCTCAACCATAAAAAATTTTCCTCCCCACGACCACCCCTTCCCTGTCCCCTTCTTATCTATGCATTCCTGTCTGTCCAACTTTCCCTCTACGTGAATGCTACCCTTCTGGTATCTTATGGGTGATTAATCCAAGGGGGGCATCTCCCTAGAGTAGGTGGGTGTATGACGTGGGGCATGTAGGTTTTTTCTCTGTTCGGCTGAGAGCCAATCCATGTAAGTGAGTCTATTTCTATGCCTGGAAGGTAACCTGGGGCCATAGTTTTAGGGGTTTTACCAGTCTCTTTCTGACCAGTAATTCTGGTCATTTTTGTGTTTTTGAATTTTGTTTCACATTTTTCCTCCCACTCTATCCAGGATCTTCAGTTTTGATCCCTTTCCGAGCAGTTGGCATTGGCAGCTGGGCAGCATCTAATTCTTTTGGTCTTGGGGTCGTGGAGGCTGAGGTCCTTGTGGACCATCTTATCTTTGGACTAATTGTTTCCAGATGACTTTGAGATTTTAATCACTCTTCTTTGCTCCAGACAAGAGGAGACTAAAAGTTGCATCTTAGACAGCCACTTGAAAGCTTTTAAGACCCTAGTTGCTACTCATCAAAGTAGGTTGTAGATCAAAATTTTTATGTACTATGTTTGCCAAATGAGCATGATGTTCCCCAAGACCATGGTCCCGAGTCTGCAGGCCCAGTGATTCTCTCTCACAAGGTGTTTGGTTGACTCTGAAAAGTTACTCCAACCCTGTATTCTGTTGCTTCTGTAATGTATGTGGCTAATTTTGTAGCATAAGTGCATATGTAAGATTATCTTCAGCCAAATCTATCCTTGGTCTAGGGTATATTTCTGTTCACCTACCCCCACCTGATATTCTCACCTGTCTATGCATTAATCCATAGCCTAGTGTTTGGTGCTAGTGATACTGCAGTATTGTGCATGTACTAGTATTTGCCTCTGTTGTGTGTAGTTTTTATGTATGTTTCATTGTCTTTCCTTTCCCCAGTGTTACCATGCTGGTTTCACTCTTTCCATACCATCCTTCTCCTCATCCAAATCAACATGTGACCCCCAACTAGTCTGAAATTTTTCCTCTCCTTCCCTCTTCATCCGCAGCAACCAACAAAGTGAGTTTCCTTCCCTGAATAAACTTTTCCTTGAATAAACTTTTCCTTGACTTTTTACAATAATGGGCTCGTACATTATTTGTCCCTCAGTGATTGACTTATGTCACTCAGTATAATGTCTTCTAAATTCATCCATGTTGTGAGATGATTCGTGTAGTCTTCATTATTCTTTAATGTTGCATAGCATTTCATTGTGTGAATGTATCATAGTTTGGTTATCCATTCATCTGTTGATGGGCATTTTGGTTGTTTCCATGTCTTTGCTATAGTGAATTGTAGCACCCAAATTTTGGATTCTAAATACCATTTTTCATTAAAAGGGACCAGAGATTCCCAGAGAAATGACTGAGAGAAATGGCTTGCGACAGGTAAAGTACAAGATGAGACAAAAACATCTTTGTCCTGTGCCAACAATCCTCACAATCATTGCTGTTTGAGCCCAAAAGAATGATGGGAACATATCAAAGAACACACACACACACAAAACAGTTTGAAGGAGCCTCCCACTGGCCAAATGTAGGATAATTTGAGTATGAAATAAACAATTATAAGGGATTACATGAATTGGGATATCTAAATAAAACAGGAATCCATCTTTCAGTTGAGAAGACTGGAAGACATTTTACTTTTAATAAAGTGATCAAAGTCACCATCACCAGCTCTGGGATAAAGACATGGTGTACCTCCTGACATACCACAGAACATGGCACTACTTCTCTGGAATGTCTGCCAAAAATGCATTATCTGAATCTAATCATAAGGAAACATCAAACAAACCCCGATTGAGTTTGTCTACTAAGGCTGCGAAAGACAAGAAACAGAGGAACTGTTTCAGATTGAAATAACTAAATGCAATGTGTCCTTTAAAGAACACTACTGGGACAATTGGTAAGATGTGAATGGGTTCTGTGGATTTATCAGTTGTATCAATGTCAAATTCCTAATGTTTATAGTTGTAGTGTGGTTAAATAGGAAAGTGTCCTGAAGGATGTCCTTGTTTTTAGAAAATACACAATTAAGTATTAGGGTAATGGAGCCTATTTGCAACCTGCCCTTGAATGGTTTAGGATAATGAGAGAAAGAAAGAGAGAGAGAGAGAGAGGGAGAGAGAGAATGAGAATGTTATGGCAAATGTGGTAAAATGTTAAATAAAAGCTGGGGAATCTAGGTGAAGAATATGTGACAGTTTTTTTAATACTATTCTTGGAACTTTAAATTTAAAATTATTTCAAAATAAAAAGCTAACAAACAAACAAAATCCATGCCCCTATATCTTTAAGAAAATCAACTAAAATTATACTTTCAGTCTTTGAAGAAATTTCATAAGATTGTACTTAAGTACTCAAGAGACTATTAAAATAATCCTTTGAACCAATATTACAAATTCTGTATACACTGAGACACTCATTAATTTTTTGATTTGAAAAAAAAAAATACTGTTGATTGATGAATTAAACAAACATGATCCCTGCCCTCATGAGGCTTATCTTACTGAAAGAGGTTTTAGATGTTCAGAGCTCTGTTGTGAGTAAGTGGCATGTTATAGGTCTAAGGTAAAGGTGACCCAAGTTTAAGTAGCTCTATGATATCAGAGATTGAAACCTGATTTTCTTAGGGTTCATCTCATGTATACAACAAATATGGAAAGTCATCTGTTAGAAGGAAGGCTACAATAAATGAATATTAAGGAAGATGAAGATATACATTTCAGAAACAAGGACAAACCATGTTATCTTTTCTCAAGATGCTTTCCACCACCACAAACTATATCATTCTCAGAACAATCTAATCTTAAGCAATCTAATCTTAAGCAATCTTAAATACACAGCATCTTCCTCAGTTCCTTACCCCAGAAAAATCTCCATATGACTGAGAGAAATAGAGATGTGCAGCAGGGCTAGATCTACTACGGAGTTCCTTGATTTCTTCTTGGGATTCATGTAGCATTCCCAGACATTCAATATTCCTATCCTGTAACTCATGCAGCTGAAAAAAAAAGATGATTACTATACTCTACTGCCTTCTCAAAACAATAATGGGGGGGGCACGGGGATTACATTTATGCGAGTACTAATTTTTACCAGAGGACTAATTAAATTTAAGAACACCATTTCAACCACAGACTTTGGCACAAACAAGCAAGGAGAGTATGTATCCAAGGCATAAGAATCAGAAGTGTCTTGGGCAAATACACAACTGTGATTTTTCTAAAAATCTGAAATGTAGCTGAGACAACTGAAACTGTCCAGTCAATGTTTAATTCTTTCCACCCTAAACAACTGATAGAGGAAGTAGAATAGCTATGATAGAGTTAGGGTTAGCATAATGTTAATTTTTCATAACATCACTCTGAAGTCCATAAATCCACAAGATCAAGAGCCTAAAGTATTACCTATGATATCGAGCACTCAATTATCCTATGCAAGTAGCTGGCTTTTTTTTCTTCTTTTAGAATCTTCTTTACAGAAGATGGAATACTTCCATTTTCAGAGTACATGTTAACTTTAAAAATTGTACAGCGTTACATTTAAGTAAATATGTATCATACTCACTAAAACAAAGTGTTTCAGTATAAGGTTTAGAACAGCATTCCTTAAAGTGTGGTATACGGAGCACTTAATCAGAATCACCAGGACTGGGCTGCTTATTAAAAACGCAGATTCTAGGCCCTTACTCTAGACCTACTGGATTAGAAACTCTTGGGGACAGCAGCTGGGAATCCCCATTTAAAATTCACTCTCCCAAGCGATTCTTATGCATGCAAAAGAACCAGTAACTTGAAAGTTATATAAAACTATTATCTTAAAAATCTTATCTAATATAATGTTTTGCAAGTATGTCAGGAAAAATACCAAAAATCTCTTACTATCTACATATAGAACTTTTATGTAAATAGAAAATAAAAGACTTTTTACTATTTTTCCTAACACACTTATAAAACATGATTCATTCTCTCCTTCCTATGTTATATAAGATAAAGGAAGATGTCATTACCTCCATTGTTAGTTGTCTTTGAGCATCCTTGGAAGCTTGCAGATGAAGTCTTAGTTCTTCCTTCTCAATCACATGCTAACAACATATTAAAGGAGACATGTAAAACTTTCCTGTATACCATACAGCTTTTTCTTTCTGTAAGACATCTTAAGAGTTTTTCTCCACAGTATAGTCTAAAACCAAACCAAACCCTCTGCCACTGAGTTGATTCTGACTCACAGTGACCCTACAGGACAGAGTAAAACTGCCCCATAGGGTTTCCAAGGAGGTAAATCTTTACAGAAGCAGACTGTCCCATCTTTTTCCCATGAAACAGCTGATGGATTCAAACTGCCAACGTTTTGGTTGGCAGCCCAATGCTCTAACCACAGTGTCACCAGAACTCCTAGAATATAGTCTAGAGGCCTATAAAAAACCTTTAAAAACCTGAAAAAGAGCAATAAAATGGGCAGAAAACAAAGTTCACTGACGTGTTCGAAGGACAATGAACAGGAGTCAACAATTCACACTACAACTTTGAGGAAAATCTAATTCCATTTTATAGAGAAATAGTGACTTGAAAGTAGTTATCTGAAATATTTCATGACAGAGGGAAGATTGCAACAGAAAACAGACTAAAGCACTTTAAAAGAGCAAGAACCGTGTTTACTTTGCATAATGTATCTGGCCCCAAGCAGAGGGTGCAGTACTAGGTATGTGCTCAGTAAGCATCTGCTGAATGAAAAAATAAACGTACTTCTTTAAGTTTGTACTGAAGATCTACAATCTGAGACAGGAGTGAGGAGATCTCTTCTTGGTATCGAATCAATTCATCACTCTTCCCTGACAATTCCTCAGTCATTCTGGACATCTGAGCATTTGTTTCACCTGAAGCAAAACAAAAATTTTTAATTTAATATAAATGTAGGGCAGGGATTAACAAATTACGGTCTATGGGCCACATCCCATTTTATCCCAAAAACTGTACTATCACAAATAGATTTCAAAATAAATTAAAAAAAACAGAAACAAAACAAATAACCCAGAGAAACCAATGGAGAAATAGGCTAATGCTAGAAATTAAAGAGAAAACAATGAAGCTAAAAAGAGAGATGACTTGTAAAAGGTGAGCATGCTAAAAGTAAGACAGGCAATTTCCTCCAATCCTTTTCTTTGCAAAAGAAAAAAAAAAAAAGGAGAGGTATGTTTGTAAGTGCCAAGAGGCAATCTCATTTATGTCTTTGAGAACCCTTCAGGGACATAAATAAATTCTCATAAACAATGAAAATTAAGCTTAACAAATAAGTCAAAGGAACATTTCCAGAACAGAACAGTAGTGATCTCTAACAGAATGTGATAAAGATATGGAGATACCTCTGTAAGAGAGGGACTTTCTGGTATACTTGGCAAACTTAGGGCCTCTAAAGCAATCCACATAACCCAGAATTTGTGCCTGCATGTGAAACAGAAGCTTTAGCATTCTACGTGCCTAAGGCATTTGACTGCTAACCAGAAGGCTGGCGGTTCAAACCCACCAGCCACTCCTCAGAAGGAAGGTTGGGCAATCTACTTCCATAGAGATAATGCCTTGGAAATCCAAGGAGGGGTCTCTATGAGTCAGATCAGATTCAATGGCAGTGAGTTTAGTTTTTTTTTTTTTGGGAGGGAAAATGAGTATTTCATATAAAAATTTTGACATTTAAATACATTCATAAAAATGACTTCTTAGTGCCATATAGGAAGGTTTTTAAATTGACAGAAAGCCTGTAACATTTCAAAGGGTAGCAATAAGGAGGCAGGAGACACAGACCAGAGCTCTTGGGCAAATCACCTCTTCTCTATTTATTAAAGTGTAAAGGGAGGGTATCGTAGTGCTGGTGGAGGAGGAGATTCAATTTAGGTTCCTCCTCTACTATTGTTATTTGAAAGTATCACATTAGGAGGTCCATATCCCAAATAAGTTGGTGTGAAGTCATCGTATCTTTTTTTCCTATATAAAAGTTTATATATTATAAACGAATTACATATCCTTCTCCAGTAAGTAGTAGTTAGAAATTATTTGGGTTAATATTACTTCAACTCAAAATATACACACATATTTAAAAATAAATAAATAAAAACCAAACTCACTGCCATCAAGTCAATTCAACTCATAGCGACCCCTCCTTGGGTTTCCGAGGTGGTATCACTTATGGAAGTAGATTGCCCAATCTTCCTTCTGAGGAGTGGCTGGTGGGTTTGAACCTCCAGCCTTTTGGTTAGCAGTCAAATGCCTTAGGCACCATGCCACCAGAGCTCCTACACAGATATATAGTTGGCCCTTAATAACACTCAGTGAACATTAGGTTTTATGCCATTAATTAAGCTCTAGCTCTGCCCACTTACCAATTTCCGACTTTGGCAAATCATATCTTCTATAGGTCTATTTCTTCATCAACAAATTGAGAGCTTTCTTTCCTTTCACTCTAACATGCTATAATTTTATTTACAGAAATATATGTCTTTATTTAATGATAATGGTAACTTGAAAAAAAGAATCTTCTTAAAAATTACATATAATATTTTATTGAGGACTGTGGGCTCTATGTGATGCCAAGATTTTCAGTAACCTTTTTGTTTTGAATTTTAAATTGTTTCTTGAGATGCTTCTACAGAACTTGTTGATCTAATTTCTGAATAGGAGATATCTTACCAAATAATCACCCAAAGGCTGCAAAACAGAGTATGTTAATACTCACGAAGTTCTTTAACACAGTCATTAACAAGCTGTTGTTCCTTCTCTTCATAGGTAATAGTTTCTGTCTTTATGTCACAAGCCTTCAAGAAAAGAATAATTGATAATACCTTGCAATGATTTCATAGCAATAACTACAAACACCTTTAATTCTCATATGAAGATTAAAGTTCATCACTTACTAAGGAAAAAAAAAACCCATAAAATTTTATCTGCTATAAAATAAAGGTCTGGAAAAGGACATAATAAGCATCTCTGCCTCGCTGCTCTCAGGGCCTTTGAACATGCCTGCCTAATCATGCCTACCCTGTACCTACACCACCCGCACTACCCCACAGTCTCTTTCTTAAACAAGAAAATCCTGCTTAAGAAAATCTTCCCTAATCTCCTTGATTCTATATTCTCACAGAACCTTATAATTTTCTTCCATAGTTCTTATCACAGTTGTAATTACTTATTGTGTAAGTTCCACAAGCTATATTTTGTATAGTCCCTTTCTCTATTTCTTCCCTCCACCTGCTACTATTTATATACTTCTCGTGGAATCTCAGTAACAATGGAAGGCAGATCCATGTGACTCTATAGCCCCAAATGGAACGCAGATGGCAAATGGCTAAGGAGCATGTTCCAATTATGCCACATTTTACCTCAATACCACCTAGACCTTATGTATTGTTTAAAGTAAAGGAAAATTTGAATTAGATTAAATGTACCTTGGATCGAAGAGCCATGTTCTCTTCTTCCAGTTCCTTGAGTTTTTCTTGCAGCATGTCCAACTGCAGCAGGCCTTGAGACAAGCTAAAGGACTCATTGAACCGAAGAGGTGTAGAACAGCTGGAATCCGTTTCACTCTCTTCAGAAGCAATGGAGACAATTCGAAGTAACTCCTCTTTCTTGGATAGCTCATGCTGCAGCTGATTAACCTGTATATAAAAGGGCTTAATTTACAAGGTGGTCTTCTCTTTGCATTATTTGCACGTAACCCAGCTTCTACATCATGAAACAATTGCTTCTCTCCATAAAACAAAATCAGTTGCTAGATTTTGTTAAGGAGTTTTGGTAGCATAGTGCCTGAGGCACTTGAATGCTAATCAGAAGGCTGGTGGTTCAAACCCACCAGCCACTCCTTGGAAGGAAGGTTGGGCAATCTACTTCTATAGTGATACTGCCTCGGAAACCCAAGGAGGGGTCACTATGAGTCAGGTCCGGCTCAATGGCACATAACAACAACAACAACAGATTTTGCTAACTAAAGTAACAAGTGCTAAAGAGAAAATAAGAAACCTCAGATACTTCCTCAGCTACAATTCTGGAGTATTAACTCAACAACATAGTTTTTTTACACTGAGTAGAGAAAGCCAATTTTGTATTCTACATGATAGGAATATAGAGTAAAAACTTCACACAGCATAATACTCAATTTTCAATAAACAAAACAAAACTGAAGAACTTCAAAATATCAGAATAGATCCCTACTTCAAATTCTCATGTCAATGCTTATACTTTCAAGGTATGTGTAACTCTGCATATCTTCTTAGGAGTACTGACTTTCATTCTAGGGAATGTGTAAAGGCTCAAATATCATTAGCTGCACATTCATAAAATATAAATAAAAATAAGTAAGTTTAACCATTCCAGTTATTAACATCACTCCTCACTACAAATATTTATTGCTATGAAATAAATATATTTTCAAAATTTTCTTTTTCTCCTTTTGTTGAATAAAGATACCTACAGGTCTTATTTGCCACTGTATTTTTTAAATAAATTTAAGGTAAAATTACACACAAATTTACAAAACGAGGTGAGGATAAAGCATTAGAACCTAAGCAGGATGTCACAAGTACTGTCGATACCAAATACAGGCTTTTTATACTGACTAAGGCCAAGTCACATGAGCACTCCTCTGCACAGTAACATTTCATTACTGGTTACTGCAGTGTTTGCCAACAAAGTCAGCACAGTGTGGTGCTATTTGCCTGATGTTATCACTTCAGAGACATCCAAAACAGTGTATTTCTTCGTTGCCCAATATCTAACTATTTCATGCTCCAAATACTTGATCAAAGCCTTACTTGATCAAAAGCTTGTCCCAGTTGCTCCTCCAGGGCTTCATTCTGCTCAGATAAGACATGGTTCCTCTTTAAGAGAGCTTGTCCAATTCGAGCTGCCAGCTCCAGATCACGATCCCTCTGTTAAAATACCAAATACACCTTTTCTTTGAGAACAAACAAATTGAATGGTAGTTTAGAAATTCCGCAGTCAATTTTGCTCAAAAGAAATGTTCTATGAAGCATCAAGATTCATTCGGTGATATTTAATAAACATTGGCCAAATGGATGACTACCATGGAGTCAGACTGACTGATCACCCTAGTAATCAGTCCACAGCAACCCAATCTTCATGCTTTAAACTTAAGAATTTGGAGAGCTGAAAAAAAATCAACAAAAACAGAGTTCTTTGTTTTTTAATTTTTGCAGTGTTCCATCCCCTCAAAAGCAGTTCTTACAAGTGAGACATGGCCTGGCGCAAAGTAAAAGGCCAATAAGTGTCTGTTGAATGCATCTGTTGAATGATAAAAGTGCGGTAATGATATAAAATGAGGTAGATAAAAGTCAATGATAGAGGGATCACCTAGGTACGTCGGAAACGGTTCCATTTAAGGCAAAGATTACATGCCTTCAGAGCCAGAGGCCTGAGGAAACAAAGGAAAAAAGGAATAGGACTTATAGGATTTCTACTGTGAATCCTTTTTAGCTTAATAAAAAACTCTTTATCTTTACAATAGGCAGCTCTGGTGGCATAGTGGTTAAGGCACTTGCTCACTAAACAAAAGATTGGTAGTTCAAACCCACCTGCCATTTTGCTGGAAAGAGGCCTATTGTCAACTGGTACAAGATGATGATGTGAAATACAGCAGAGAATAAAAGATTGGAAGTTTTTAGGCTGCAGGGTTGTGCCTACAGTGTAGAGAAGAAGGAAATCTAAAGAAGTTGGTGGCAATGATGCAGGGAAGCTAAGATACCGGCAAGAGTGACTTTTGTGGTAGATGACGATGCTTAGCAAGGGTTTAAGGAAGCCCATCTATGCAATGGTGGTAAGGATTTTATTCTATGGGATGGAAAATTCAATACATGTCTAACTGCCTTTTACATGAGTATGGGTTCTGCTTATGTTAATCACCATAAATAAAATTAGGCTTCTATTTTTTCTTTCCAGAGCACTAGAAACAGGCTGATGGATTATCTGCAAATTTTCAAGCGCCACTTGAGGACCATCTCATTTTCAATATAAGCTAAGTGGCACACTGGAAATCACTGGGAGCTGGAGGACGGGGAGAAAGGAACTTCAAGGAGAAAGGCAGTATTCCATCAGGCCAACCAAAATTAAGGTTCCTGGAGAGACTTCCATGACTGCCAACTGGAAGAGACATATTATACATATTAAAAATGCCATGGATAGAGTGAGTTCAGATAACAGTTTCAAACAGCAAAAAAAAAAAAGAAACAGATGCTTCCAACTGCAGGTATTCATTTAAATGAATTTTCTTCTTGAATAGGCAACTCTGCTCCAGGGTGAGGAACAGCAGAGTTTTTTTTTTTTTTTTTCCTTAAGACGAATGCTTGTCTAGGTCTAGGAGGCCAGCTAGAACCATAAACAAAAATGAACCCTCACAACAATAAACTAGAGGAACTGCTCTACTTCGGAATGCAAGCTGGTATGTCACTTGTTCCAGTTGTAACAATCATGTACATATTAATCCTGAGCAAAGACATCATCATTTTTCTTTGGTGTACAAATTTAATAGATTCCAAATGATCAAGTTTTCATCATTTGTACTGGAGAAAGAAAAGATACAGTCCTACCTCAGCCAGGAGATGTGTAACCATGTCGATGTCACTGTAAGTTTTGGTCATCTGCTCCACCCTGTCTGTGCCTAGAACTAAGATAAGCAAAAAAGAACTATACACAGGATTTAGAGATAAATAACAAAAAATTTTAAATATTCATAAAAATTGAAAGAGAAAGAATACTCAGCTTTTACAAAAAGTTAACCAGGGAAATAAAAAGAAAACAAATGGTTTCATGTATTAGACATTCAGAAAATAGATCAAAGATTATGACTAAAACGTACTTCATACAATGGATTAAAAAAGCATCAAATGGTCACAAGGCAGTCAGTCATCTACTAAGTAACATCCACCTTCCTTTAGACGACAAAAACGTTGACCCACTCGCTTTTGAGAATATGGGCTGGGAGAATGGATTAAATAACCAACGTCATTATAACAAAACCAAAAACCAAACTCACTGCCATCGAGTCGGATCCAACTCATAGCGATCCCTTCTTGCGTTTCCAAGGCAGGATCACTATGGAAGTAGATTGTCCAACCTTCCTCATCTAAAGCTGAATGCCACATCTTTCTCCTGTGGAGTGGCTGGTGGGGTCATACCACCAACCTTTTGGTTAGCAGCTGAGTGCTTTAGCCACTGCACTACCAAGGATTCTTTTAAATTAAAGCTACTGAGGAGTGAGTTAGTGAGTGGTTATGCTGTTAGAAAGAAATTTAATTAGAATACTGATGTGATTATCTTGAACATCTATGATCCTTTATCATGTGAACTATACTATCAGCAAAAGAGGAATAGGACACAGGATTTCTCCTGTGAACCAAAATCCCTTTTAGTTTAATAAAAAACTCTTTATCTTTACAACAGGCAGCTCTGGTGGCATAGTGGTTAAAGCATTTGCTCCCTAAGCAAAAGACTGGCAGTTCAAACCCAACTGCCATTTTGCTGGAGAAAGATGAGGCAGTCTGCTTCTACAAAGCTTTACAGCCCTTCAGGTAGACACATTCCTTGGAGCGATCAGTCATGGGAGAACAGAAGGGTAGTGTTTTGACAGGGAGACAGCTCAGGGGACGGGAGTACATGGAGGTGAAGAACACAGGGAAGAGGTAACTATGGAGAGGAAGGGGGAAGAGAGCTGTTACATGGTGGGGAATTGCAGTCAATGTCATAAAACACAATGTGTATGAACTGCTATATGGAAAATAAATTTTCTCTGTAAACTTTCACCCAAATCACAACAAAAATTAAAAAAGAAAAGATTTACAGCCATGGAAACCCTATGGGGCAGTTCGACTCTGTCGCTATGCATCAGGGTCACTGTGAGTCAAAATTGACTCAACAGCAGTGGGTTTTTTATCTTTACAATAAACTTCAATATATTTAGGCCTGTAGTAGAAAATAATAGATGTATATTCATAATTCAAGCACAAAATTTCTATACTTTATAAGTTCAGGAAACTTCAATATACTTGAATAATTTAGCTCAGAAGAGAAGGGCAGCCCTAACTCCAATGATTCCACGATAAAAATAAACAGTATTTTTAAAACTAATGATATAAGCTCAATAAAAGAGTAAAACTTTGATTTTTGGAACACATTACATGATGATATAGTAGGAGCTCTGGTGGCTTAGTACCTAAGGTATTTGACTGCTAACCATAGACTGGCAGTTCAGACCCACCAGCCACTCCTTAGAAGGAAGAATGGGCAATCTACTTTCATAGTGATATCAGCTCGGAAACCCAAGGAGGGGTCGCTGTGAGTCAGATCCGACTCAATGGCAGTGAGTTTGGTTGGTACTCCAGCACATGTATTTGTGTTTGATTAAAGCCAAATTTATAATTAGCTCATCTTCAAGTGAAAAGAACAGGCTTCGGAGCAGAAAAGCTGAATTCATGTATTTGAGTGAGCTTAAACAATTAATGCTTAATGAGCTCCAGATTCCATATTTATAACATGGAGGTGATAACACACATCTAAAGAGCTCTGGTTGTGTAGTGCTTAACGCATTTGACTGTTAACCAGAAGGATAGTGGTTCAAACCCACCAGCCACTCTGCAGAAGGATTTAAAGCTGAACCCTAGGAAGTCATGTACTATGATCTCACTTTCTAATGCAGTATCTTGACCAAGGGAATTTATGTGTCCAAGACAACAACAACAAAAAACAGACACACTGCTGTCAAGTCGGACCCGACTCATAGTGACCCCTCCTTGGGTTTCTGAGGCAGTATCACTACAGAAGTAGATTGCCCAACCTTCCTTCCGAGGAGTGGCTGGTGGGTTTGAACTGCCTGCCTTCTGGTTAGCAGTCAAGTGCCTTAGGCACTATGCCACCAGAGCTCCCAATGAGGAATCTTGACCAAGGGAATTTATGTGTTCAAGACCACAACACAAGTGGTTATTAGTAGCAAAGCCAGGATTATAATATGGAGATAATAACAACAGTTATCTCACAAGGTCATTTGAAAATATTTAGGTCTGCTCATTTCCAGTAAAGAGCTCTTTCTACTATGCCTTCTACAACAGCCCCATTAACATAGAAAAGCCTCTAATAGATAAAAAAAATCCATTTGTAAACAAAGCACAGATGTCAATTTTGTTTTTTAAAGTGTGAGTGTATATTTAGGCTGGAAGGATATACATTAAAACATTTATAATGGTATCTCTGGGTCAGGATTATGGTTGATCTGTTTGTTTTCTTTCCAGTTTTTTTTACTAACTTTCCATGAAATACAAAGGATATCTTTGTAAACAGAAACTCTCATCAAGAGATTTCAAAAAAGAAAAATGAACTTCAAAATGCTAAGTAATTATTCTGGCAAAGAAGTTAGGTAATGCAACTAGAATTCTCCAATTCTTACTTTTTTTTCCTTAATATATGAAACAGCCTATATATTCCAAGCCCCAGACACTCACCTAAAAGTTGAGACACCTCAATTGCACAGAGAAATGTCAGACAGCCACAAAGAAGAGAGGTTCACAAAGGATTTGTTTCTGCAGCCTAATCAGTTCTGTGTTCTCTTCCTTAACACAGTACTCCTGATAAAGGCATGCTGCTTGGGAAGATTCCAAAATTACTCAGGGCAAAGCTCTTAAATGTTCTCTTGGTATTTAGGCATGTGATTAAATGCTTTAAAAGCCACAGACTAATTCTTCATTGTAACAGAGCATGTAGGGATAGATAGTCATTCAGGTTGACTTTATTTTAATCATCCTATCATATCCTATTCTCCCTTCAGTTCCCAGCTGTTAAAAATGTTAAATGGTACAGAAATTAGCAATGATCCTTGCCTACTTCCACATACGAACTGCCCTTATTCCCTAACACATCAGAGATGATAAATATTTTTACAGAACAATTTTGCAACTCAGTCACCTAAAACCAAAAAACCAAATGCACTGCCATTGAGTTGATTCTGACTCACAGCAATCCCCACTGGGTTTCCTAGGTGGTAAATCTTTACAGAAGTAGATTGCCCCATCTTCCTTCTGCAGAGAAGCTGGTGGGTTTGAACTGCCAACCTTCTGGTTAGCAGTCAAATGCCTTAGGCACTGCACCACCAAAGCTCCTTTAGATACCTAAAGTTGTTAGTTATGTTCAACATCTTTGGTGTAATATTTGGAGAATGCAATGTTCCTGAAAAATATATAAAGGGATGGGTAATATATACAAACAGTTCATTAACCTTTATGTGTTAACCTGTAAAATTTCACATCGGCCACTCCAATCTCACATAATTTTCAGAATAGGAAACTCCAATGTTAATCAAATCAAGTATGATATCTCTTTGCCATTTATATGAGATGGTACTCAACAGTTTCCTCACATATTCCTTTTTAAGATCTAGAGTTTTCTAACACAATTACTGAATTTTAAAAGACTTCTAAACTTTGATCACTCTCCAATTTTATTTCCCAAAAAACATAAATAAAACACAAACAACCCCCCCATCCACCCCAAAGAAATGACTGTATCACTTTCCATTATAAACAGAGAACATTTCTACAACACAAAAAAAAAACTGCCTTCCAAAAAAAAGAAACAGAACAAAGAGCACAGTGATGGATGATACTATGTAGGGCATGGTTCTAGGAGAGAATTAAGCCCCACAGATTTGAGTGACAATTTTCTTGATTCTCCCAAGGTGCCAGAAGGGCAAGGAGGCCACATATCCTGACCTCCTCTAACCCCAAAAGAGGAAGACAGAATCACCATCAGTAGCCCAAGGCCTATTCCTGCGAGGCCAGACGTGCTGCTTCCCTCCAGCCCTTTCACCAACCCTGACACCAACCATTCCTCCCGCAGCACTCACCACCTTTCTGCTGGGTTTGATAATTCACTGCAGTGGCCACACAGAACAGATTATGGGATTTATCAGGGAAGCTCCAGGCTACAATTCAAGTTCAGGAAAAATGCTCAGTCTTTCTCCCAGCCCACAGTCTCTCAGTCTCTCTCAGCAATGCATGTCTCTTGTGTCTCTTTCCCAGCAGCGTGTATCTCTCAGGAGCGCGTCCTTCCTCAGCCAGCAGTCAGAGAGATAGGAGGCCTCCTTCTGAATCCCGCAGAGTGGCCAAACCAACCAATCATAACATCAGAATTCTAAGCACCTGAGAGAGAGTGGGAACCTCCCAGAACATTGTTTTGTGCCACTCCCAACAGAAATACCCCAGGTGGACAACTTTAGCAATCAGGAGCTCCGCAGTTGCTCATGGCAAATTCCACCTGGAGTTTACGACTTAAGGGAGCTCTGGTAGCATAGTGCCTAAGGTGCTTGACTGCTAACCAGAAGGCTGGCGGTTCAAACCCACCAGCCACTCCTTGGAAGGAAGGTTGGGCAATCCTACTTCCGTAGTGATACTGCCTCGGAAACCCAAGGAGGGGTCGCTATGAGTCGGGGCCGACTGGACGGCACATAACAACAACAACAACAACAAGGGAGCTCTGGTAGTGCAGTGCCTAAGGCACTTGACTGCTAACCAGAAGGCTGGCGGTTCAAACCCTCTAGCCACGAAGGTTGGGCAGAAGGTTGGGCAATCTACTTCCATAGTAATACCGCCTCGGAAACCCAAGGATGGGTCACTGAGTCAGGTCTGACTCGATGGCACATAACAACAACAACAACCAGTACATGAAGCATAGGTGATAAGGTAATTCTTCATACAGCAGATGCCTTAGGACATACGGCTTAATTTTCTTGTTGAACTGGTTAAGAAGGGTAGATCTAGAGGAATTATACATCTGTTAACCTCTAGGACATGGTTTATGGTTAGAAAAAACAAAAACAAAAACCAAACCCTTTCCATCACGTTGATTTCAACTAACAGCAAGCCTAGGGGTAGAGGAGAACTGTCCCAAAAGGTTTCCAAGGCTGTAATCTTTATGGAAGCAGACTGCCACATCTTTCTCTCATAGAACAGCTGGTGGGTTCAAACTGCCAGGCTTTTGGTTATCAGTCAAGCACTTACCCACTGTGCCACTAGGGCTGCTTGGTTAATGCTTCCTAAATATTATCAGTCATATTTCCTTTCTTGCCAATAAAAATCAGTGCTTTTTGAAGCAGAGCTTAAAGAAGAGTATACTTTCCAACCAGAAGTAACAATTTGTTATATATGAAATCCTGAAAATTCAAGTAGTTTGGAACCTGCTTATCTTTTATTTTCCAATCTTTCTATTTAAAATTCATCCTAAAACTAACTTCATTAAATCATGATCTAAGACATCTTTCTAGCTACAGTTCTACCCCCTAGGGGCCTATGGAACAAAGCACAAGTAAACTAAGGGACACTTTCTGTTACCTTATCAAAATAAAAGCTTAATTTACACCAATAAAATTTCAGTTGGAAATATTCCTCTCACAAATTAAAAAACTCATAGAACAAAGGGAAGGGTTTTGTTTTTTTTTAAAGTATTCCTTCTAAAAAACACATTTTCCAGAAAATCTCAAGTAAGCAGCCACACAAAATACAAAGTTAAGTAAACCTTAAGAGCTATAGTTTAATATTCAGTTAATTAAGAGATATTAAGGACAGAAATATAATTTTATATGGATTTCTTGATATTACAATTCAAGTTTTGGCTATGTTTATAAATTTTGTCCTGAGTAGTAAGTAACCTGGTTCTAACTCCAAACCAAACCAAACTCACTGTCACTGAGTAGTTTCCAACTCATAGTAACCCCTGCTGGGTTTCTGAGACTGTAAATCTTTACGGAAGTAGACTGCCCCATCTTCCTTCCGCAGAGTGGCTGGTAGGTTTGAGCCACTGACCTTCTGGTTAGTAGTCAAGTGCCTTATCCACTACGCCACCAGAGCTAGGAAACTACTATTAAAAAGCAACTTAATAACTATGAAAATAAGTATTCCACAACAGCCATTCTCTAATGTGGGATTAAAAACATTTAAGGACTTACTGGGAAAATGTGTAGGATCTGATGCAAAAACCAAAAACCAAACCCACTGCTGTCAAGTGGATTCTAAATCTTAGTGACCCTACAGGACAAAGTAGACCTGCCAATAGGGTTTCTAAGACTGTGTATCTTTATGGAAGCAGACTACCCCATTTTTCACCTGGAGAGCAGCAGGCAGGTGCGTTCTAACCACTGACCTTTTGGTTAGCAGCTGAGTGTTTAACCACTGTGACACTAAGGCTCCTAGGGCCTGATGCAATCCCATATCTAATTCAACATTAAAATAAATTCATAAACATGTCAATATTGAACTTATTGTACAGTTTAACCGTGAGGGTTTTTTTTTAATGCATACAACATTTTTATAGTGAATAAATAAAGTAAGCTCAACTTTAAATGTAGATTTTTGGAATGAGAGCTCAAATGCAAGAAGGTCTCTCTATCAATGTTTTAAAATGATTACATCTAATCTCATCATTTCTAAGAGTTTGGTGTAAACAGATCTATTTTCAGGACAAATCTGGCTTATCCTCTTACTGAAATTCAATTCTCTATGGATGCCTAAGTAGTGCCTAAGGCACCTGACAGCTAACCAGAAGGCTGGGGGTTCAAACCCACCAGCCACTCCTTGGAAGGAAGGTTGGGCAATCTACTTCCATAGTGATACCGCCTCAGAAACCCAAGGAGGGGTCTGACTCGATGGCACATAACAACAACAACAACAACATACTAAATACTGTATGAACAAACAAAAAACAAATCCATAACTGTCAAGTCTATTCTGACTCATAGCAACCCTATAGGATAGAACAAAATGCCCCACAGGGGTTCCAAGGCTGTAAATTTTTACAGAATCAGACTGCCACATCTTTCTACCGCAGAGCAGCTGATGGGTTCAAACCACCAACTTTTTGGTTAGGAGTCATGTGCTTTAACCACTGTGTCACCAGGGCTCCTTAAATACTATTAGTGTGTACTTATTTCTCCTTGGCATTCTAAAAAATACTCATGTATCTAAGTCACATTCTTCTTCATACAGTCCAGCTTCTTTGATTATTTGCTTAGCATACAGATTTAATAAGTACAGTGAAAGAATACAGCCCTGACACACACCTTTTCTGATTTTAAACCATGCAGTTGACGGGTTAAGATACCAAACTATTATACTAATAAATGTTGAGCGTTATAAGGAATATTAAAATTTTAAATAATTTCACTACTTTTTTAAAAAATTCCCCTTTCTTTTCAGTCTGTGGAAAATTTCAAGTCAAATATGGGAGAAATGGAAAATCTGAGTCTGCGTGCCAGTCTGGGACTCAGAGTCACAAGAACAACAAACTCTGTGTATTCAGACGTAACACAAAATCATCCCTTCCTATTGTTAAATCAGTTGGAGCTAAAGCAGGCACATGCTAAACACTGGTTACTAAATGTATTTTAAAAAGTCGCCACCCAGACACTCACGATCTTTATTTCAACGGACAAACTCTAAAAGGGTAAGATACTCACTCATATAACGGAAAGTCTCTTCAGCAAGGACTGGAGAGAGAGCATCAGCTGCATGTTGGTGCTGGTGCGGGGACTGAGTCCAGTCTTGGTTTTCATACAGAAAGAGAGAGTCCACTCTTAGCTTATACTGGGGTAGCTGTTCCTCTAGCAGACTCACCAGCTCAACTTCAGGGAGATCCTCATTGGAGCAGACATCTAAAGAGAAAATGCCTGATAAAAGAACTTACTAGGCTACAGAGAAAATCTGCGAAATTAGGTTTGCAAAAAAAAAAAAAAAAAAAAGGCAACCAAAGAAACGTTAAGCAAAATAATTTCTCCATTATTTTGTATTACTATATCCTGGTACTATAGTTCATCTTTCTTTAGCTTTCTTTAATATAGAGACTCCTAAAGTTAAAAAACCACAAATTTTAATTATATCTTACCTAAAAACATGTTGCTTAGTGAATTTAACTATGTTTTTAAAGTGTGAAATTAATTTGGACAAATTTCTTACATACTTTTTATGAGTCTCCTTATGGTTCTTTAAAAAGGGTTTGATTTTGAATAGCTTATATGATTGGAAAAATAAAAAAGAGCAACACAAAAACAACCAGCAGAAAAAACCTGGGCCAAAGGGATAAAATTACATGTTTTTTAATAACAGAATATAAATTGTGTGTGAAGATTCTTCAAAATCAGGGTAAATTATATTTTGGTATATTCCCACATTGTTGTTGTTGTTGTTAAGTGCCGTCGAGTCGTTTCCGACTCATAGCGACCCCATGCACAGCAGAACGAAACACTGCCCGATCCCGCGCCAGCCCCACAATCCCTGCTATACTTGAGCCCATCATTGCAGCCACCGTGTCAATCCATCTCGTTGAAGGCCTCCCCCTCTTTTGTTGACCCTCCACCCTACCAAGCATGACATCCTTCTCCAGGGAATGGTCCCTTCTTACAACATGATATTCCCACATAGCTAAAAGTTTTTTAAATAATTTAAAAAAAAACATTTACTAATTGCTGGCACTGGAATAAGCACTTTATCATTTTTATTTTAAAGCTGAGGTACATTTAAAACCCTAAATACGTAAGAAGAAAATTGGAAAAGGGAGAAAAATTTTTCTTCTAAAAATCTTCCCTAGCCTTCATAGAATACAAATTCAGGATGAAACAGTGATTAAAAAAAACACTGACTTTTAAAAGTCAGACAGTCCTGGATTTGAGTGAGTCCTGGGTTTGAGGACATACCATACCAAGACAATGGGAAAGTTACTTAACCTCTAAGCCTCAGTTTCCTCGTCTGTTAAAATGAGGAAGGTGACAGTCTCTATACCTACCTCCATGGCTTTTTTAAGGATTGTTGTTATGTGCCATCGAGTCAGACCTGACTCACAGCAACCCCTCCTTGGGTTTCCAACGTGGTATCACTATGGAAGTAGATGCCCAACCTTCCTTCCAAGGAGTGGCTGGTGAGTTTGAACCAACAGCCTTCCGGTTAGCAATCAAGTGCCTTAGGCACTATGCTACCAGAGTGAGATAAATGCATGAAGAATACTTATACTTAGCACAGTTCTGGCACACAGTGGGGGCACTATCTAAATGTTAGTTGTCTTTATTATCATTTTATTGCTGAACTTTTAGATTTAGAGATCCAATTAAGTTTAAGGTCCCTATAGCATCTAAATACAACAACAACAAAAAAAAACCCCACTGCCGTGGAGTCAATTACAACTCACAATGACCCTGTAGCGCAGAGCAGAACCGCCCCACACGGTTTCCAAGGCTATAAACCTTTAAGAAAGTATCTTTCTCTTGTGGAGCAGTTGGTACCTTTAAACCCCTGACCTTTCAGTTAGCAGCCAAGCTCTTAACTTATAGTATCTAAACCCAAGCTCTTAATTTAAGAGTATCTAAACACTTGCAGAATATTAAAGGTGAAGGTACTTCAGAAACCATTTAATTCAGCCTGCTGGAAAAGAAACCTGAGATTGGAGAGGTGAATAACTTGCTGAAGATCACTAGATTTGTGTCCTGATTTCCTACCCAGCATGCTGCCCACTCAACCACAGGGCCCTTTCCTGTGACTATCAGCCCACTGACTTATAGGACAAAGGCTGACCATTTGTGCTAGAAGTCAAGATCCTACACACCATGTCTCTAACACACCAGATGTATAGTCTTATACATCTCCTAATTCCCCCAAGGGACTTGTCTAGTTACTTTCCTATTTTTCATTCTTAATACTGGAGAGTCTGGGGTTTAGTATGGGCTTCTAAAGATTGACTCCTCCACTCAGTAGATATAGGATGTTAGACATGTGATGTTTCCTTTCTGAGCCTTAATTTTCTTCACTTGTAATATAAAGAGCATCACCTACCTTCTATAGCAGTAATGAGAAACAAAAGATATATTGAGGCACCTATGGTAATACCCAACACATCACATGCAGTCACTGAATACCATGCACATTCTTGCTTGTAACTCCTTTCCACTTTCTCTCTCAACATACATGTGGGCTTTTCTGACTTTATGTGCTTGCTCCTGGCTTCCTGTTCCAAATACTGCCCATCAAATTTAGTAGTTTACAAAAGGAGAGTTACCCTTTTTAACATGCTTAAAATACCAGGGCTTAAAATGGGAAAAAAACAGGATGTCACATTAACCCTCTCACTTTTTTATGAGTTCTCATATTTCCTCTGTGGGTGGTATAAAGAAACATGTTCAATCTCTAACAAATAACAAAGTAAATATTGGAAAGGAAATTTTGAAAAAGTACATTTCTACTATTTGTACCTTAATTTATCGATGACAATTTAATAGGTCAAATACAAAGAAGTTGGCAGTATCAGACATTTCGATTTACAAGCAGTGGCTTCACACCCACAAAGAGACAGAGACAAAGTGCATTTAAAACCTTAAATATAGTTCTACAGAGCTCCCAAACCTTAGACCATTTCTTAGATAAAGAGTCCTAAAGACATAACCAAATTCTATTACTAATGATGACATTAGGTTTTACGTATGTTAAATTCTATCTAAGAAATCTACCAGAACGTTACTAAAACAATTTTTGTTGTTGTTATTGTTGTTACATGCCATCGAGTCAGACTCGACTCATAGTGACCCCCTCCTTGGTTTCCGAGGCAGTATCACTACGGAAGTAGTTTGACCCATCTTCCTTCCGAGGAGTGGCTGGTGGGTTTGAACTGCCAGCCTTCTGGTTAGCAGTTAAGTGCCTTAGGCACTATGCTACCAGAGCTCCCACTAAAACAATTAAGTGAGTTAATTAAGTATAATGTGGATTATTGGCTTAAATATAAAAGCAAAAACTTCTAAAACTTTTAGAAGAAAATCTGCATTGATTATGAGGTTTGCAAAGATTTCTTAGAACACAAACTGTAAAAGCAAAAAGTGATAAACTGGATTCTCTATATAATTTCAAACTTCTGCTCTTCAAAAGATACCATTAAGAAAATGAAAAGGCTAGTCACAGCTTGTGAGAAAATATTCTCAATCCATTTATCTGACAATAGACTTACATATAGAATATATAAAGAACTCTTACAACTGAATAATAAGACAATAAATATCTAACTAAAAAATAGGCAAAAGATTTAAATAGACAATGAAACTATGATACAGAAATGGCCAATAAGCACATGAAAAGATGTTCAGTATCATTAGGCATCAGGGAAATTCATTCTTTCATGCCTTGTCTACTGTTGCTTTTCTGCTATAACAGTAAAGTTGTAAACAATTAAAATGAATGAACTACTGACATGTGTCAGAATGTATCTAAATCTCAAACATCTTGCTTTGCAAAAGACACAGATTCAATTTATATGAATTCTATGGTGACAAAAATGAGATTGATAGTTAAAGGCAGAAGTGAGGGCAAAAATATTCTATATCTTGATTGTAATGGTGGTTACCTGATTGTACATATTTCTCAAAACTCAAACTGTACACTTAAAGTTGGTATATTTTATTGTATCTTAATAAAAGCTTCTGTAATAAAGCTGACTTAAAAATGAAAAAATTAAAAAGCAAAACAAAAAAACACTACGGTGTTTATAGATGGGTTTCAGGATTCAAAATTTTTAAAAAAGTAGTAGTATACAGTTATTGTATAAGTATTGTTTTTGTTGCAACAGTCCATATTTAAATATATCTCCAGTAAATATATGACTATTCCAATAAAGTGTGATAAGAGAGATAAGTTTAGATATAGTCCCACAGGTCAGGTTTTGTGGATGAATAAATTTGAGTATTTTTCAATTTAATCTTGCAAATAAGAGGTTATGTGGACCTGTAACTATGTTTGTAAGGAGCCCTGATGGCACAATGGTTAGATGCTTGGCTGCTAACCAAAAGGTTGGCAGTTCAAATCCACCAGCTGCTCCATGGGAGAAAATACCTGGTGATCTGCTCCTGTAAAAGATTATAGCCCACGAAACCCCATGGGGCAGTTCTACTCTGCCCTATAGGGGCCCTATGAGTTGAAATCGGCACACAACAATAATCACCTCCTATGACTGTCTACAAGGAGCTCTGGTAGCATAGTGCCTAAGGCATCAGACTGCTAACCAGAAGGCTGACGGTTCAAACCGACCAGCCACTCCACAGAAGAAAGACTGGGAAATCTACTTCACTAAAGATTTACTGCCTTGGAAACCTAATGGAGGTCGCTGTGAGTTGCAATTGACTCGATGGCAGTGAGGTTGGCTCTGGTTTTATGACTGTATATCCTGTAAGCCTTGAGAGCCTCTTATGTGCCAGATGCTTGCAAGTTACATAAACACGAGTAACTCTGTCCTTGCCCTGTGGAGATGACTATGAATATGACAGTTCCTTCTCACCAGGGGCTCATGTGACACAGGAGAGTCACACATAGACAAGAAACAGCAGACAACACAGATTTTTCTAATGCCATGGGAGACAGCAGAATGCAGAGATTAATTCAATCTACCTCTGAGGACACCATGCTAGAAAGGGAGGCCCCGGTTTCATCATGGCAAGTTTTATACAGTGGACTGAGGTGTTTGCATTCAAATCTTAATTAAAGTAGACTTACCAGTGATGCTCTCTGAGTCTCTGTGATTGATATTCATGAGGTTTTCTTCACCTGTTAGTGATGTACAAATAGCATTCTGGGATTGACTCATGCAGGATCCTTTCTTGCTTTGGTTGAGGACAGCTTTGGTATATAATCAAGTAAAGGAAATCCATCAAGCCATCCAATAAAGAAACGGATCTGGTCATATGGGTTTTCTCTTTGAAACAAGTGTTTCTGATGAGTCAAATGACATCTGCAGCAAGGAGCATTCTCATGTGATTATCATATCTTGGACAGTCATGACCTAAAACAAAGGACACGTCAAGTGACTTTAGAATTCATCATGCTCTTTAATAACAACAGTCCAATTACCAGGACTGTCCACCGGTAAGAATGTTTTTCTAATGACAGGAACAGTGACACGGATGAATCTCAAAATAATTATGCTGATGAAAGATGCCAGTCCCTGCCCCACCAAAAAAGTGCATACTTTATGATTCCATTTGTATAAAACTCTAGAAAATGCAAACTTAACTACAGTAACAGAAAGCAGATCAGTGGCTACCTTGGGTTGGGAAAGGGATTGGTGAAGAGCAGGAGAAAAGTTTTGGGGATGATGAAAACGTTCATTATTTTAATTGTGACGCCTTCATAAGAGTATACGGATGTCAAAACTTCACAACTTGTATACTTTAAATACGTGCTGTATAATGTGAGTTAAAATTTGATAAAGTTCTTTTTAAAATTTAAGATAATTGAGTACTTAAAGTAAAAATAATAATATATTGTGGGGTCTGTAACATAGAAGAAGCAAAATGTAAAACAATAGTAACACGAAGGCCTGGCAGGAAAAATGACAAAAAACAAATTTTCAGTGCCTTTCCTAATGTATACACATATATTCTATGCTAGATCTTTATTTATCTTTTTAGGAACAACTTCACTGCTTTTCTTTATAACCAACCAACCAAGTATGCATTCTTTAAAAAGAAGCCTTTGGAGTTCATGCACATCTAGGAAATAAAGCAAGATACTCAGGTGACTTATTTTAACAAGAAAAGTGACTCAAGACTAACAACCAGAACATATTATTGAAACAAATATTGCTGGCAGAAAAATAATATGGCCAATGACTTAAAACAGTATAGCCCAGTCATGGAATTAAATAGTCAACAGTGAGGGACTAAATATAGGCCCTGTGCCTTAAAAAAATTGTGCTACTTCCTTTAAACAGTATGCTCTGGCCAAAACAGCCTCATAGAAAAGACTACAACTCTGGAAAACTTCATCTCAACAAAACTGTAGAGCCTAGAAACACAGGAAATGTAATGATTTAATGAACATTTAAATTGGAAATAAAAAAACACATTATTTTATACTACTAAAATAATGCTTCTGGGATTAATTTAAAACAGAAATATAGATTCTTTTTTATATCTACTTCAATTAATATGGCCACCACACTAATACTTAAAGCACGGAAAACTAACTACTGTATTTTTTCACAATAACACAACCATGTAAATAATGCACGCATACATATAATGGGTGGAACTGATGACATTATGTAAAAAAAGTTCTAGCATAGCACACTTACATACACCACACCTCTCATTACATTTCCAGAATTTCAGCCTCATTCACCCTCATTCAATAGTCCAAAAATGTTATTTTTGATCATATTTGTATAACAAAGGTATAAACCATGGTTAGAGTTTGGTAGTTCCCCAGTAATTGGAAAATAAACTATATCAATTGTTGATTTGCTCTGGGGTAGTCTGCAACTGGGCCTGAAAGCAGTAGAATTCCTTGTAGCTAATCTGTGCCCAGGTATGTTGTTCAGGAGATGGGTAGAGCGTCAGGTGGAGAGCTGTGTGCAGGGCTGCCACAGCTCAGCATGGGCTAGTTCCATGGCAGGTCGGGGCTGTTGCGCACGTGTGCCTGGGACCTGGGGTGTCAACCCCATGTGAAGTTAGGCAGCAGGATGGTTTGGATGTTGCATGTGGGCGTGCACTGCCCCAGCCCCCAGGGCCCCTGAGTGGCCAGACAGACCCATCTAGTCCAAATGAGGGACATACAATCCCTTTGCGCTCATGGCTGTCATGCCTACACCATGGTGTCTACACAGGTGGGAAATTCCAATGGCTCAAGTGAGGTTGCTAGACAGGTGCACGGCAGGGCAGAATGCATGCAGTGTGCTGGACGTTTGCAGACCTGCAAATCTCCTGGGCTGGGCCTGCTGCCCTAGTAAGGGCTATTTCTGGGGTGGAAAAAGTGATTTCTTCATGCATTGGAGAAAGCAGTTTGTAGAACAGGGCAGAAATCCTGCTGGGAGAGGGGCTGCTTTAGAAATTTGAGGGGGTAGTAAGGTCTGCTACTGGTAACCAAAGCTCTGTGTCAACAGGCACCAAGATGAAGAAGACTTAAAATCAAATCCATTGGGCAGGAAAAAAAAAATGAAATTGAAGGTAGCAATATGTAAAAAAAAAATCAGTATAGCACGCTTATAAAAATAATGCTGTGTGTGGGGGTTGCATGGTATACAAAAATGAATACCATGCATGCTATTTGCACAAAATACAGTACATCTTCCATCTTTTCATTCGACAAGTACTCAGTGTCTATATTGTACTAGGCACTGTCCTCAGCTCTGAGGAAACAGCAATGACCACAACAAAAACCCTGCTGTCACTGAGCTGGTATTCTTGGGATTATACTGAATAATTACTAAAGTGCCACACTAGGTTCTTTATATATGTTAGCTTAATTTTCCCTCAAGTGATCCTAGGAGGAATTATCATTATTTTACAGATGAGAAAATGGAAGCTCGGAGACTGAATTACAGACATCAGTTCACATATCAAGTAGAAAACAGAGTCAGGATTTTATCAAAGGCACAATTCCAAAGGCTGTGCTCTTCATCACCACAAAGCACATCATGATTTTCCAAAGCATTCCTGACCATATCACACATTTTGGTTTTAGTTTCCAAGTCAGAACTATTCAGAAAGCCCACTGTGTCTTATGTCTCTTCATTTTGAAACTATATAGCTTGAAGTCTAGCTCTTCCAAAAATTTCTCTCTCATTAACTCTCTATCCAGTCTCCAGCCTGCTTGATTACTCCCAGATACATTCTCCCCTTTCCAGAAATTCTTGAAAATTTTACATTAACTTGTACATAAACTATTTTTGCTTATCATACCAAATGCATCTCCCAGTATAAGACAGTGTGGTTCACTGTAGTAAGAACTAGAACACTTGATTCATGAGTTCATCAATTCTGTGTGTCTATTACCTCTGTGTCTCCAATGATTTATAAAATGAAGGCTTTATAGGGATTAGTATAATATAGCAAAAAATGGGATTTCCAGAACACTTAATTGTACTCATGAGGAACCTGTACAAAGACCAAGAGACAGTCATTCAAAAGGAACTAGGGGGTATTTAATGGTTTAAAATCAGGAAAGGTGTGCATCAGGATTGTATCCTTTCACCATACTTACTCAATCTGTATGCTGAGCAAAAAATCTGAGAAACTGGACAATATGAAGGGGAACATGGCATCAGGATTGGGCAAAGAATCATTAATAACCTGCAATATGCAAATGATACAACCTTGCTTGCTGAAAGTGAAGATGACTTGAAGCACTGACAGCTGCAGATCAAAGATTACAGTCTTCAGTACAGATTACACCTCAACATAAAGAAAACAAAAAATCTTCAAAACTGTACCAATAAGCAACATCATAATAAATAGATAAAACACTGAAAGTGTCAGGGATTTCATTTTACTTGGATCCACAATCAATACCCATGGAAGCAGCAGTCAAGAAATCAGATGACGTATTGTATTGCATTGGGCAAATTGGCTGCAAAATACCGCTGTAAAGTGTTAAAGAGCAAAGATGTCACTTTGAAGTTTAAGGTGTACCTAACCCAATCCACTTCAGTTGTTTCACATGCATGTGAAAGCTGTATAATGAATAAAGACGACAGAAGAAGAATTAATGCATCTGAATTGTGGTGTTGGCAAAACATGCTGAAAATACCATGGGCTGCCAGAACAAACAAATTCATCTAGGAAGAAGTATAAACCAGAATGCTCCTTTGAAAGCGAGAATGGCCAGACTATGTCCTGCGTAGTTTGGTCATATTGTCAGAAAGGACAAGTCCCTGGAGAAGGATATCATGCTTGGTAAAGTAGAGGGTTAGTGAAAAAGGGGAAGCCCCTCAAAGAAACGGATTGACATAGTGGCTGCGACAATGGGCTCAATCATATCAAATATTACGAGGATGGCACAGGACCTGGCAGTGTTTCATTTTGTTGTATACTGGGTCGTTGTGAGTTGGAGCTGACTCAACAGCATCTAACAACAACTATAGGGACTAGGAAGGAAACTTTTAGTTGCTTCAAAGGACTTTAGAAATAGGAGTTACTATTTTAGCCTATTTTAACTTCAAGACTCATAGTTTTCCTTAATACAATATATGAGTAACTGCCCTTATACACATTAGTAACAGTAATAAATAGTAAATGGAAAAAAATGAGAATGAGAGGAAGAAAGAGAATATTTTAAATTATTTTTATGGTAGTAACACAGATTAGGGACATACTATATTTTGGAACAGGAGCTCTGGTGGCGTAGTGCCTAAGGCACTTGACCGCTAACCAGAAGGCTGGGGGTTCAAACCCACCAGCCACTCCTCGGAAGGAAGGTTGGGCAGTCTATTTCCATAGTGATACTGCCTCGGAAACCCAAGGAGAGGTCGCTGTGAGGCGGGGCCGACTCAACGGCAGGTAACAACAACAACATATTTTGGAAAGTGTAGTCAGAGTAGGAGGGAGTTGTTTACTCTAACAATTCGTAAGTGTGGAAGGAACACACGTTGGCTGCTGATCTAGATGCAGGACCAGGAAGAGCACCAATCATCAGCTCCAGCAGCGGCTTTTTAGGCAGGGCAACCGACTCCAGACAAAAGATAAGAAAAACAATTTCAAAAATAAATAAATTGACTATGTTTCTAAGAAACCCTGGTGGTGCAGTGGTTAAGTGCTCGGCTACTAACCAACAGGTTGGCAGTCTGAACTCACCCAGCTGCTCTGTGGGAGATCTGCTACCATAAAGACTATAGCCAAAAACATTTTAAATTATTTTATTGACATGTGTTCCTTCCATACTTGTAAATTATTAGAATAAACCACACCCTCCTATTCTGACTATACTTTCCAAAATACAGTATGTGCCAAACCTGTGTTACTACAATAGAAACTGTCTTACTCTGTCACATGGGATCGCCATGAA